TCCACTACTAATTCGTCTGCTCCCAAATACGTTCGGCCAAGTGGCGAGTGGTTCGACAATGTAAGTCGTCATATTTGTCTCACAAACTCACGAACAACGGGGAAATTCCATCATTTGGCATGTCCAAAACGTGTCCCCACCATCGTAGGGTCAATAAGTTTGCGGTCATGAAGACCAAGTGATAATTAACCGTCATAATACTCACCTGATTGTCTAAGCAAAGTTGTTCACTGCAGGTTAATCAACGATTTTCAGCTCTATGTTTTCCACTTGGCTCTAGCAGGTAATAACCATAGCTCTGGGTAGTTTTGTTGGCCGAGGGATTTCAGTCGCTGAAACCAATGCACATCGGTTCTTATAGTTAGGGGTTCTAGTCCCACCTCTGACAGTGAGTTATGGAAAAAGTTGTACATAGCAGAAATGAGTGTCTGGCGTTCAGCTTAAATCCCAACGATGTTATTCACCTTATAGCGATGCATTCGCATAAAATGCACTCAGAAGTTGTCAAAAAAGCGAAACAAATGATACTTCAGCTAACGAATACAAAACGTTTATTCAACCAACCCCTCATATTTTAGATCATCCTTACCGGTAGTTATTGATCTTATCCGAATCAGGTGAATGCAATCCGCAGACCATGTTCACGTGTACTCATTACCATAATTATTACTTACTACTTGAAAGCAACCGACCATTATATGCTTGATAACACATTCTATTGCTTGTACTTGACTCAACAATTTAGCATTCAAATATTTTTCTCATGTTCGAATTTTGCGTCATGAATACGACTGGTGTTGTAAATCTGCTCCGAACTGAAGAGAATTATTTAGTTAAAGAGAGCGATATTGATAGGTTGTATATCGCCTTATACAGAACGAAACGTATAATCTCCAACCTTTGTTTAGTGGTTCCATGAAGGGCTCTTGGTCCACGGTCAGGCAGTTCGACTACCTCTTCGCCCCGTCCGTTTTTACTGTAATATGTCCGCAGGTACTTTTTGTTTTTAAATGCCGCAAGTGTCCACTAACCACTCATTCATTCGGACGCTAAATGTACTACTCAGCGATGTTAGCAATGCCTCACTACGCAGGTTACAGGTATGAGATCATACGAAATAATTAATGGCCAGTGGCAAGTGAGCTCAAAGCAATGAACTAGTCTGGTAGGTATAATCCCAGGAGCCATCATATGTCACTGATTTAAGACAAGTGAATAAATTGCCTGATGAAAATTCAGCTTCCATATGCTTCACCAAGAAAAATGGATTGAAGTGTAAATGCGTTGGATTTACGGAGTTAAATCAAAGCGGTGAACAAATCATGAAATATACGGTCCAAGCGACAAAAAGTGGGCAGAGTAAAGAAGTAAGGTGGAGTTGTATACTGTTGCACTTGCCCGACGTTGGTCTTTATTAAAGCCAGTATGGACAGAGTGAAATAAGTTTAGCTATGGCGAAGTCAATGAGGAGATAGGGATCCGACAGTGATTCAAGAGCCAGTTTATCAAACACTTTTGGTGTGTTGGGAGACAATGCGACAGATAATTTGGGAGCAAACCACAACAGCGGATAAATGTCCGAGTGATCGATGTATCACATATATATCATAATATGGTGAACCAGGAAAAAGAAAACACTTGCGAAACATAAAGCTTATGTGGTGAAGTGCAGGAATGTACAAACCATTATATCGATCGGGACGGTGGGGATAAGCGTATTAGGCTTAAGACAATGAGGGAAAGCGCTTTGGGTTTTGAAAAACAGTTTTTGATATTATGCGGTCAAGGGACGGAAAGTAGTCGGGAACAACACTCACGTATTTAACCGATGTTCCTCAACTAATTGGTATTTCATTAATGAACAGTGGTTGGAAAATCGCAGCAGAATCACAGTATGATTGAGCCAAAGGGAAAGGAATTACAATTCAAAACAGTTAGATAGGCTCATTCCAAGGTTATGCGTGGATAACCACTTGTCGAGTTGTGAGACATCGGCTGATTAGTGGGGAGGGTGGATTTGCTGGACTGGGGTTAACTCCAAATTACATCTTCAGCATACTTGATCAGCATGGACCAGTTGGAAACAGAAATGCAATCTAAGTTTGTAAACAACAATAAGAAAGAAAAAAGACACCCTGAGAAATTCCTAACTGAGAAGTGTAGGCCTAAGAAACTTCGTCACAATATCGTGTAAACTGTTTTCGAAAGACAAGAAAAGTAATTAAAGAGGGAAGTGGTAAATGAGGAGTCTTATGACGTTGGAATGAACGATATGAATGGACTAGCACAAACTCTGACGTAACGGCACGTGGGGCAGTGATAACAACGAACAGGACCGTCCGAACCAGCGAACGAGTGGACAGTACACGGGTGCGCTCAACTGCGGTACCCCAGGCAAGTCCCGACTCAACCAAAAGGAAACGCCCCACGAAAGCAGTACGATCTTCGAGCCCAACCAGAGAGAGCACGGAAGACAGGCCTTCAGGCGAGGTTGTGTATTTGACCCGGCCAAATAGGAGACAACTGTGGGCAACTCATTTGTTTACATACATTTTGGGGGCCGGCCAGCAACGACCGTAGAAAATGGCTCAAAAGCACTGAGTCGCAGGTAAACGAACGACTGAGGATAGAATATGGCCGGTCGTGTGATATGAGTATTTCTTGGCACAAAATCCGGAAATTCAGCTTTTTTAAAAGCAATTAAAAATTTAGGAGACAAAGGAAATAATAACTATCAAGGAGACGCCATGATGTGCAAGAACAGAAAGAAGCTGGAATCGATCAACACTTCTAAATGGCTTGTTGTAATCTAAGAAGCAGACGCCTACGGTCGTAAATATGTGGTCAAGCGATGACAGAATAAAACGCGTTGACAAAGCTGGAACGTTTAGAGTAGGCCGTTTACGACATTTGGAAAATCAATTACAATCACTGATGTTCATCTGTGTAACTAATTTGGGCAATATCACCTCAAATACTTTCGGGGTGGTCGAATTACAGTCTAAAGGAAGATACGTTTGTGCCATTTTTCTCGTTAATTCAGAAAATACTGGCTGTCCAACTGGTTGTTAAGAAGAGAACTGTGGTGCACCGGAGAAGCGTGATTACTATCGTGAGGTTGATTGAAACAAGTGGAGCATCCGGAAGGTTTAACGGGTCCAAATGTCTTATAAACACTATACAGAAAGTGGAACTAACTTCAAACCAAACGAAAACTTTCTGAACGTAAGAAAAAGCTTTCGCAGGAATATAGGGACATGGTTTCACANACACATGGATCGGAACTTTTTGAGTTGCGCATCAGAGATAGAACTGATATTTTTTAAATATTTAAGGGAGGACAACACACTGAATAGTCAGAACGGATTCGATACAGGAAAAAGAGAAGTCATACAATTATGAAAACTCCGCAGAACAGAAAATACATTGGTTCATGTGTTGTTTTAGGCTGAAATTCACGCAACGAAGAAGAGTGAATGGCATATTGTTGATCTTACAGACGGTAAAAAATTGAACTTAGTGTAGCTCGTTGCCTGGAATTTGAACCAGATTGATCTGTGAAAAGAATAACGGTACTTGTTTGAGCGAATACAGGATACAAATCCAGTTACGGATTTGGATGCCTTACATATGTACTCAGTAACCGAACTTACCACACTGTGTGTGGTGCTGGATTCGTATGCGTATTTCCATATTTCGGATTGGGGTCCTCTAACAGAAGTGATGTCCAATTCTCATCTGGATGCCATCTAACAGCAGGATAATCCCCACGTTCACAATCAATATAGAACAGAATCCTTGTTTTTGTCTCATGGCATAAAATAAGCGGGTTTGGGTTACATGCAATCCAAACTCTAATTAGATAGACTAAACGAGCGTTATTATTCACAACCGAAATGTGTACCGGGATGCAAGCAGTGACACAACAAAACATGGAACAAAGACATCCATGACTAGAGAACGACGTTTATTTTCGACCAAACAAACCATGGTTCAAGATGTCGTATCACTGTGCCCAGAAAGTGCGTGAAAATTTCAGGACTAAATGATAAAACGAGCAAACTCTATGGAAGGATAATACTTGTATCGTTATTTTATGTTAATTTTCTATTGAAAGATGGGTAGTTGAACAAATCTTTGTCGGTTTTTCTTTTTCACCATCGTTGGAATTCTCAAATCTGGTTATCGAGGTGAATATGTAACTGATGAAAACCGATCAGCTGGGGGAGTGCGTGCGTCACGTATGTTCTGTAGACATTATAAAATGCACCAACAATTCTGCCAGAAACAAATTTTATTCTGTGCCTGAATTTTCCCGAAGCCTGAGTTCGCACAATCAGAAGAATCAGATATAGGATATGCATTAATGAAGAGACATCTGGGGTGCAGGAAACTGGAAAAGTGACTGATCAAAGAAATTGTCATCTATCAACCATTAGAATAATTCCTTTTGAGGGCTCAGAATCTGTAGGCTTTCAGAAAATCAACCACGAAATGCTGGGCAAAAGAAGGAAGATATTGTTGTGTGAAATGCTCCACAGTTATCAGTTATTTACCTCGCTATCAAAAGTGTCATAAACTTACTTCGGAATGAGATTGGTGACTTACGTTGACCAGCTCAAACGTTTCCTCTGTTAAGGTCCATGTAGTGTGTTTGCATATGTTACGATTGTGATACAAACAAGGGATCAGAAATGTTTAATTGTATCAAACGGAGGTAAAACTTCATGACATTCATCTGTGTGCATTCACATGCACTTATATTCATTTACAGATGAAGACAGACATACTTTCTCTCTCTCTCCCGCTCTCCACCTCTAACCCTTGCTAACTTTCACTTTCTATGCATTTCAGGCTATACGCTTGGCGACCTTGAAGCGATCCCCCCACATCCTTCCGAATATCTAATCTACACTTTTGCTGAACGAAGCGAGGCTTGATCACTCTCACACACACAAATACAAACAGGAACTACTGCCATTTACTTATCAACCGCTGGAATGAGTGTGTTGCGTGGTCAGGGTGATCGTGGGCCAGCCGACAGTCATATACTGGACCGATTCTCCACCACTTATTCGGCCAGCTATCGGCCGTTTGAAGAAACCCGACGAACTATCCCCATACAGTGTGTGTCAAATTCGAAGTCAGGGAGTGGGCTAGACACCTCGGCCCGTGTGTCACGTGGCTCACGCTTTTGGCCAATCAGTAACGAGTCAGGTAGTAGTCCAAGCACAAACGTCACAATCAGATCGGGAGAAATGGCACACACAGCCGCGTCTTATCAACCATCTATTAGCCGTGTTCTTAATCCATTAAATCGACTGACAACCGAAAATGGTGTGGGTGGTGCTGGTCAGGGCACACATCGATCTTGGGATGACACGGCATTGGTTAATAGTACAGGACTAAGTGTGACAGACAGGCCACGACCTAGACCACCAGGTCTGTCTATGTCTAGCACAATTCCATACCGAACTACATCGAATGTAGGCGCATCAGACCTGAGTAACGGGAATACACCGTCAGCCACATCTGTCACAGGAAATAAGGATTCCAATACGCGGAACTACACAAGCACCTATACCACTGTGGTTTCAGACAAGTTAACACCGTGTTTTGCCATTTCGAACGGTACGGCTCAGACAAAAGCCACCGCAATCACTCAGACGGACAAACCAATTTCGGGATTTTGTCCACCGTCGTCAACATCCTCCAGAACCGGGACAACTGCTTCCATCGGTGCTACACGGACCGATCATTCGTGCACCGATTTGGGTGTGAACAAACGGTGTCTTAATTCCGGGACCAGTCCCGCAATCACCACAACATCCACAAGCAGTCCTTTGACTGTATCTGCCGTATCAAACTCAACGTCCACAGAACGTCCGCTCCATTTGACCACCATTTCCCCCTACCAATCAAGTACGCATTTTGATTTCGGCCAAATGTTTAGCCAAATCGCTCGGATTAACAATCATTTGTATTTGAGTAGTTTGAATGCACTCACTCCGGATCGTCTACGCCAGCACGGAATCACTTTGTTGATTTCGGCCATGATTGATCCCGTTCCACCGCAGTTACGCAATGCTGTGACCAGTTCAATGCACGTCCCTGTCGAAGATGTGGAAGGGGCAAATTTA